ATCGGGAAGTAATAGCAACGAACAGTAGAGAGGGCAGTGGGCGATTACGAATCTGGAAACCTTCTTCGGTAGCCGGTGCAGACTCATCGGGGGGAAGCAATGGCGATGAGCAGCACAGCGGAGAGTGTTCCCGGGGTGATTACGACGGGGTTTAAGGCGGTTACGAATCCAGAAAGCTTCTTCCGTTGTGCCAATATGACGAAGGGAAAACTTCTTCATGAATCTGGCCGCCTGTACGACATTAAGGAGGTCCGTTTCGACCGACAAGTGGATGTCACGGAGCGCCGTACTCCGCAAACAAAATTAAGCGCGCCCGCAAAAAATTTAGTTGGCGTTGAGTCGACTGGGGTAATTATGTACGTTTATTTCTGAATCAGCTTGACAATAACTGGGCGATTTTTTTCGCGCCATTTCGCGATTCCCACTACTATCTTCCTGTAGGTTGAAAGAAACATCCAAGGGTAGGCACGGGTGGGCGACCGCATTCCGCTTCACGATTCCGGTGAAGTATTTGCTGCATAGTTTAGAGTTTGCCGTCGGTGTCGATGCTGTTCCATCGCCGCTAGAGTAGAAAAAAAAGTTCATCGTATTATTCGCCAGCAGCTTAAACAAAGCGCGAACTGGAAGGTAAGAAACGCCACTAACATGTATGGGCGCACAAGTCGCACCCAGGTCGCCCAGTACTCCGCCTCGTACGGCTTCGAAGGGACGATGTAATACTTCGTGCCGTGCGCGATCTTGCTCGTACTGTTGCAGCCGACCAAGCCGCAATCGTTGCGGCTTTCTTGGTGCCGAATAGCCATCTCAGAAATTACAGCGCCAAACCACTACAACGCACAATCACCGCAGCGGCTGGCAGAAGCTACCCGATGCAACGGACCCGTTTGCCGCTAGGGGCGCCCTGGTCGGGGCTTGAATTAGATCCGCACGGTTCCTATAGGTGTCTGAGAAGCATGAAAGACGACAGTTTGAGATGCGCCCTCACGGCAAAATAGGGTCAACTTCGCACAGACGCCTTATGTCAAGCATGGCACGCAGTCTTTACCGTTCCGTTTTTTTTTTTTTAGCGGCCTTAGTAATAAATAAAGAGTTACAGGTAAGGGGAAGTGCATAAAATGACACAAAAAGAGGAGCACAAGCATAAATTACCATTTGCATTCGCCACGAGCTACACCCTCCCTACGCAACACCGTTCGGGAACAAATGCATTTTTTTAAGTATCTGTCTCTGTATTCCGGAATATTGTTTCGCCGTTTTCAGGAGTAACTCAAGGATATCCCGTTGCATAAACGACAAATGTATATCAGCATCTGTATTTTGGACCTTAAAACACATGTGTCTCACTATTTGTATCCCGGAATATTTCTGGAGTATCTGTGCACACGCCTTCTTCCTTTTAATTGTTCATACACGTGACGACAAGACAAGGAGTTGAAAAAACTTTTCTGATCCTTGGGACTTTCCATCTGCAGCAAGCAACAAGTCTGATGACGTGCTTAAAGAGCACGGTGGAAGCTTGTAGCCGTCACGTGCTCGGCAGCGCCGTCGAAAGTGAAACAGGGACATTACCCCTATTCGCGTAGTTGAAAGCAGACAAAATCCTCACAAAAGACACAATATTGTTTACTTGGCCAACCATGGAAAGTGGCTAGCAGTGAAGTCTTTGGCATGCTGGGAACACCGTCATCCGATTGCGTCTGACTGCTCACGTGGCAGTTTGATGCACAAACCTTTTGCTTATCTTTATGTGCTTCTTGTCTGGAATATCGTATTCCTAATTAGAGCGCAGCTCTTAGGGGCCCGTTCCCGGCTTGAGCGGCGTCGCCGTCGGCGTCGGCGTCGCCGTCGCCGTCGCCGTCGCCGTCGGCGTCGGCGTAACCAAGGTCATCCCAAGGTCACGTGACCCCCAAGGTCACGTGACCCCTCCCAAGGTCATCTCAAGGTCACGTGACCCCTCGAGGTCACGTGACCCCTTCCAAGGTCATCTCAAGGTCACGTGACCCCAAGATGACCCCACGTGACCCTTTGAAGGTCACGTGACCCCCAAGTCACGTGACCCCCGAGGTCACGTGGTCGCCTCCCCAAGGTCACGTGACCCCTTCCAAGGTCATCTCAAGGTCACGTGACCCCACGTGACCCCCAGGTCACGTGACCCCTCTGAGGTCACGTGACCCCTCTGAGGTCACGTGACCCCTCTGAGGTCACGTGACCCCCCGAGGTCACGTGACCCCTCCAGGTCACGTGACCCCAAGGTCACGTGGGGGTCACCTTTGGGGTCACGTGGCCTTGAGGTCACCCCCAGGTCACGCCTCCCCGAGGTCACGTGACCCCCTCCCCGAAGTCACGTGACACCCCCCCCCCCCGGAGCATATTAAATAATGAGGGGAGGAGGAGGAGAAGGGGGAGGGGTCTACCCTCCCCTCAGTACCCTTCACTCCTCCTCCTCAAGAGCTGCGCTCCAATTCGGCGTTACAGGGATTTGTAAACGGCTTTCACTTTTTAGAGCGCAGCTCTTAGGGGCCCGTTTCCAGCCTGAGCGGCGTCGGCGTCGGCGTCGGCGTCGCCGTCGGCGTCGGCGTAACCGGGGGCGGGGGGTCACGTGACCCCCCCCCGAGGTCACGTGACCCCCCTCCGAGGTCACGTGACCCCCCTCCGAGGGCACGTGACCCCCCTCCCCGAGGTCACGTGACCCCCCTCCGAGGTCATGTGACCCCCCCCGCCGAGGGCACGTGACGCCCCCCCCCCCCGAGGTCACGTGACCCCCCTCCGAGGGCACGTGACCCCCCCTCCGAGGTCACCTGACCCCCCCCCCCCCGAGGTCACGTGACCCCCCCCCCCCCCCCGAGGTCACGTGACCTCCTTCGAGGTCATGTGACCCCCCTTCCGAGGGCACGTGACCCCCCTCCCCCGAGATCACGTGACCCCCCGGGGTCACGTGACTACCCGCAGGTGATCTAACCCCCCTCAGTACCCTTCCCTACTCCTCCTCAAGAGCTGCGCTCCGATTCGGCGTTACAGGGATTTGTAAACGGCTTTCATTTTTGATATCATATTCCTAAATATAACATAAAAGAGGAAAAACAAGAACAGCTGAGAGTCGGGATAAAAACGTTAACACCTTCCAGTTGTCTGGCGCGGGGAACACAATATTTTCCTTCCTAACGAATATTTTAGGATTTAAGATGGCGATTTCAAGACGGAAAACAGGTATAGTAAGGAACAGGGTTGGGCAGAAATACTCAAAAATGTATTTTGAAATACAAATACTAGGATACATTGAAATAGTAGCTAAAATACTGATACTAAGATACATCTGTAGAAATGTATCGCGATACGTATCGGAAATACATATTAAAAAGAGGCAAAAAGTATTCGGAAATACAAATACAGGAATACATTTTAGGGAGGCCAGAAATACAACTACAGAAATACTGATACTGCAATACATTTTCCAAATTTTTTGAGACGCCAACTGAGATGAAGCTTGAAGCTGGAAGCGGATCTTTTCGATCCCGAAATTACTTTCCTGTAGGCTTGGCACTTTGCCTTGAAGGTAGTGGTTTCGGACGACAAGGTGTCTTCAATGGGCCCAAAAAAACGTTCTAACAATGGCTGACCGCGGTCCCTACCATTACATCCTGTCTGTCTGACGAGAGAATCCTGTCAACATTGATCACATTATGTCACGGCGGAATGAACTAGAATTCTTTATCTGTAGGTGTGGCCTTGAACATGAAACTTTACCACGCTGCTGTATGAAAGGACAATGCGTACTTTCGTTATAGGCTACCTAGCTGAAGATCGTGCATGCAGTGTCATTTGGAATTTTTGAGAATAGTGGACCACCTGAAGCATCTTGGAATACATGTCTTATCTTCTGTTTCACAGTTGAAAAAACGATACGGTAGCAACCCTGTTCTGAAGGTCCTTACTACCGACCCTCCGCCACCGACGCACGGATTGCAGTCCTCAAGTTTCGCCTAGCATTATCCAAACAGAGACCTCGTGGATTACGAGCTGATATTGCCGGCACAGGTGCGAGCTGTCCAGCAAACAGCGGTCTCGAGACTAGTCGTGGGAGTACGTAGTCTGGGATGGCACAGCGATGCCACTTCTGGCCTCCTCCTGGGTTTCGGATCACCAGAGCGGCGGGTCACGTTCACGTCGGCTGATGACGTACCCTTGAGACATGCAATATTACGGGCGCAGTCGCAGATGCATTCGGACATGTGTTGAACTTCACAGCGTGAGTCTTCCTACTATTTCAAGTCAACCACCGCCTGGCTCGTGCTGCAACGGAATGTGACTCAGCTTTGCCGGCAGGGTGTACTCTGTGCGTTAAGGCGAGAGAGGCGGTTAGCAGCGGGCATTGGATGCCAGGAAACAATGACTCAAGAAATCCCTACCTAACGACCTTCGGCAGAAGATGCTCTGACTCCACTCCTGGTACGCCACCTGGTTTGAGTCACCAACTATGCAACACTTCTCAGAAGAGAGAAGAGGACGTATAGAAAAATAGTTTGCAGAATCAAAAGGAACCTTGGTCAGCATAGTAACAATACCCCAGCATCTCCTTGACTCCGGTGCCCTTAGAAGTAAAAAAAAAAAAAATGTGTTCGAACTTGTTTCTTTTCTTTTTTTTTTTTACGGGGGGAGGGGGGGGAGTATTTCTCAAGAAATGTAACGAAATACATTTTATCGTGATTGTATCGCGATACAAAGCAACATTCAAAATGTATTTCGATACAGGAATACAGATACTGGTGAAAACATTGTATCGCGATACAGAAATACAGATACGAAATGTATTTCTAAAATACTATCGCGATAAATTTGTATCGCGATACTGCTCAACCCTGGTAAGGAAACACTTGTCTTAGTGAACTCATTGAATGATGAAAACATATCAACGCGAACACGATATTTATAATGTAGTTATTGACGGCCTCAGCTCCAAGCTGTCCTTTATAACAAGGTTCTGATCTAGTTTGTTTTTTCAGCCGTTCAGACGACCCTCCGTGGGAAACGCAATTGAACTTCAAGACGAGCCCGAACCGCGAGGCCAGGAAAAGAAAAAGCGCGCACGCTGCTGAGTATACAACTATTCGCCTCCAACAGCACGACGGGTTGAAGAGGAGGACTTCCGGTTCATCTGCGCAGTTTTATTAAGTTGCGTGTTTAATAAAATGTATACCTAGACCTCATAATTGCAGTGTTTGAATCATTCTATCTGCAAAACTTGAAGGCATGTGATTTTCTGGTGCACGCTTCTGAAACATCTAGCGCTCGAATGAATTGTGGCAGCTAGACGAAATCGTGAAACGAGATTAAATTTTTACAGTTTTCTTTTGTTTGTTTTCACTCGTGGTATAAATTTCTTTCTTCACAGGTAATATTTTCTAGGGAATAGCGCGGAGCAGAATTCTAAGTGTCGTATTCATTATAACAATTGCTCTTGCATAGGGATGAGGGATTGATGGCCGAGTGGGACCGAGTGTGCTCACGCACCGCAGCTTGGAGCCCATGCAGTGAAAGCTCTTGCTGCAAAACTAAGGGATCCTAGGCTCAACCCCCCATGCCAGTTTCTATCTCTCTGAGCATTGCACCGGCGTGCTGCACGTTAAGGTGTATTCACACGGCGGACTTGTCCCCGGGCAAGTTCCTACAAAATCGATGATGTCACCTTTCTTGCTTTTCAATATTCCAGGCAAAAGCAAAGCGTGCAATAACTCAAGAGGTGGTCAGGGGGAGAGAGGAACGTGTACGGGCAGTGGCGTACCAACTTGTTTTTGAGTGGAGGGGAAAACCAAAAGTCCCCCCCCCGGGGTCGTATATTTTTACTATACTTCGCTTCAGCTTCGGTCCGAGCGCGGCCGATGTTATGAGCCGAAGGGCCAATCAAGCAGCGAAACAGGCACAACGCCATGGCGTGCTCTCTGCAGCTGATAGGACCATGCAGCCGGTATTCGCCGTCTCTCTGTGCGTGCTCCTCTGCCGGCTAGTTTTATCAAGCGCAGAGAGCACGCCATGACGCTGCGCTTTTTGCGGTGTTTGATTCGCCCTTTCGCTCATATCATCGGCCGCGCTCGGACCGAAGCTGAAACGAAGTATAATGATGGGCCGAACTTTTGCCGAATCGAAAATTCGGCGCAGCTTTTGCCGAACTTTTCTAATGATTTGGCAATGATTCGGCCAAAATACACTGTTACCAGACTTAACATTGATATCTATTTTTTTCTAACGAAATTTTTTTTCTTAACATAAATACAACATGTAGTGCCTATTGACACAGTTATGACTATATTAGGTAATATTCTACAAGATAATTGTATCGATGTCGCTTTTGTGTGTTTACTGGCAATTTTAGTGTTTGCTTGCAAAAAGTGGCTTGACAGCGTAGTTGGGTAGCCGGTGCAGTCACGAATCACAATATAAGAGTTTTGATATTGAGGCTTCATCAGCGCACGCCTGCAAGTGTGTTTACATTGTTAAAATAAAGGCAATCACTGCGTGCTTACTTTCTCTGGGAGTCACCGTTTCATGCTCGGAAAAGAGTGCAACGGTTACTGAGCCTTTACCAGAAGAGATAACAATATTGTAAATATGGATGTTTTTTTTTTTTTTAGTCACTTGACGTCAGCTTTGCATGAAAGTGTGCGTTCCATATTCGCAACGTGCCGTTTTTAAACTTTAAAATTCTGTTTTTTTTTTGTGTTAGGACACACACAGACGTTTAGGAAGATGGAGAGAGTTAGGGATAACAGATGTGCAACGTCGAGCATGATAGTTCTGTGTTTAGTTTTATGCAGATACATGAAAATCGCGAAATAACGCCAGCTAAAAAGCAATATTATAGTGTTTTGGCACTGACTACATAGTGAGCCAAAACAGGATTGTTATAATAATCAATCAATCAATCAATGTTTTTATTCGTGCCCAGGAACAACCTTGCGGCCTTGGTACAGGTGCACTGTGTTAACATGTAAGGCATAACAGGGCATAAAGCAATAGTACAGACAACACAGACAACGAACAAGCCCTAAAAAATACACTTAAAAATTATAAAAAAAATAAACACAAAGCCACAACACACAATAAGCTTAATGGTACTACCGCCACCACCAATTGCTAGAAAGAAAGAAAAAAAATGCATTCAAAGTGGGGAATTTAGGTGTGAACGCCGCAAGTTAGTGCATACAGTTCAAATTTAAGTGATGGCCTTTAACGTTTTTACAAACTGCAGCGTGTTATTGTTAAATATGTCGAGTGTTGCAGAAAAAGAAGAATTATAAGTATGCCCAAGTCTGGACACAGGAAATAATAATATAATATTAATTTTATTTGCACATACTGGAAAGTGTCCATTTGGTGGTGTGCGGGGCTAGGCAGATATGTGAAAACCCTTACGCAGAGCGCCCGCCAGCCAGACTTGTACGTAGTTCAACTACTTTACTCAAGTTACTGTAGTTTAATTACTTTTCTAGGGAGCTTAGTAACTTTCAATTACATTTCTATTTTGGTAATTAGTAGTTTACTTTATTTACTTTTCCGAGTGACTTCTACTCAAGTTACAAATTACTTTGGAATTTTAGTGGTGGTTTCGCCTATCAACAGAGATAAGGTGTTAGAAGATCAGCTGATATTTGCAGAGGGGGAAGCATGTGGCGTAGAAAAGGGGGAGGGGGAGGAAGAAAGCAATTTGGATAGTCCAAAACCCCCAAAAATATTAACCAGCCCCCCACTGCAACAACACTACTATGAGGCGCGGAGAGCGAACAGACACGACGCAAGAATGGCCAAGTAACTGTGGGATTAGCGCCGAAGACTCGCCTTTCTTTGTATCCCGAAGCTCAGGCAGACTTGCCGCATTTAAGAAAGGGCTTGTACCCGCTTCTTGCCAATGTAGGAATCCTTGTTCACTAGAGGAGGCATACGCACTACATCCTCACTCAAAGGAGGTAACAAAGTGCAGCACCCGCTCTGAAGTTAATCTGGTGCTCCTGGATAGCTTGTGCTGTCTTTTGAGACGCCATCTGGTCATTTCTCTGAGTGAAGAAATGGCGACTTTAAGACCGATACAATAGGTGCCTTATAAGTTGATTGTGTTAAATGGTTCGTCAGCGAGAATAAAGCAATTACTCTATGACTTATTAGTTGCCGCCATTTCCCCCCTAAAAAAAAAAGAAAACTGATGCGCCTCCGATTTTGCCCTCCTTTCCGAAAGAAACTGATGCACCTCCGATTTACCCTGAAGCTATGCATACCGGCCTGGTAAAAAACAAGAAAAGCAACAAAAAAAAAAATGCTCTATAGGGAATAAAAGTGCATTCTGAAAATGTGTGGTAAAAAGTACTTCTACTTTACTTTGGAAGTACATTGTATTTATAGTACTTCACTTCAACTACATTGCACCCGTTGTACTTGTTACTTTACTTGAAGTACATAATCACTCATTAACTTCGTACTTCCAAGTAGTTTTTAGACGTACTGTAGGCAGCACTGTAAGCAATCAAACACGGTCTGCAAAATCAAGCTCAGGCAGTGCTAAACCTCAAAGGTAAAATGATACATCCACAGTACATTCTTGACCAAAAATAAGTACACAACAATTACGCAAGCAGAAGCAGAACCAGCTATTAAAGCGTTTCTGTGAAAACACAAGCCCCTTTATATTCGGCTTGCAGATTTTCGCTAACACATCAAAACCTATGTAAGCACTTCCTTATTAGCATAGACAAGAATGAAAGCAACTTCAAAAGTAATTTGCTCCTTTTTTACGGTAATTAAAAATTTACTGAATTACTTTCCATTTCAGTAATTTCTACTCTACTCAAATTACTTTTGAGGCTAATACTCAGTAAGTTAACTTAATTACTTTCTTTGAGTAGTTGTACATGTCTGCTTTTCTGTGATCCTGCCAGTTACGGCAGCGCGGACCCTTCTCCTTGTGATCCTGTCAATTAAGGCGGCGCCAACCTTATTTCTCTTTTGTTCCGCCTACGGGCGCAAAGCGTGTAGTGTAAGCCCAATAAACACGTTCTACGGTATCCCTGTGTTTGGTGTGGTCTCCTGTCCACCGGAGCCTAGCGGCAGTCAACGGACGGACCCGGCCGTAGCCGCCATAGCAGCGGACTACGGAGTGGGTGTTGCCTCACAGCGATCAGCAAGGTTAGTCGAAGCCCACCTTTTGCATCCGGCGAGTTACGGAGTGGGTATTTGCCTCACTGAGGGCTTTGGGGTAAACTAGAACCCCACGGCGTTTGTCATATGGTATCTTTAAACTTGTAGGTTTGATTCTTGTGAGCTTTCTGGTGGGTGTGGGGACCCCGAAGGAACAAAACAAAAGCACCGTAAACCGGTGGAATGCGACGAGCAGCAATGCCAATACAAATGAATGGGACTGTGAGATGTGGAGCTTAAGGCATTGCGATTCAACCTCAATTCTTTTTAACTAAGCCGAAAATGTCCGTATGTTTATGGACCATATGCAAGAACACGAGCCCTATGGGGTACTCATGCTCCATAATCCAGTTTACGCTCAATAAGGGAGGGGGGCGTTCCTGTAACAATCGTTTAATCCGAGGGACATTGGCCCCGGCAAAGCGGGAATCATGGATCTAAATCAGAGGTTGGATTGAGGGGCTGGATTGAGGCTCGGTCGCTGTCTTGAGAACTGGCCAATAATTAGGTAATTATAAATGAGAAATAACAAAAGAAATAATCTTAGACAAAGATTTAAATACGAAGTTTAGCGTAATAAAGTAAACATTAGGGTGCCCTACAGAAAAAAACCATTTGGCGCCTGTATGAAAATAAACGGGTCCATACCGATAACAGTTTAAACATACCGGTCACCAGTTTGTCAAAGGGGTCGCCCGTGTGGCTCAAAGGGGTTCCCCGTATGAGCCATAACGGTCACCTATTTGGACAAAGAGGTCACTCCTTTGGCAAACGGGTCACTCGTCTGGGTAAATGGGTCGCTCGTCTGGGCAAATGGGCGACTCGTTTGGGCAAAGTTGTCGCACGTTTGCGGAAACCGGTGACCATGTTGCAAACTGTACCGGTTTAATCAAACGGCTCTTCAGAGCCCGTTTGATACTGAACGTACAGATCGGCGGCGTGGGCACGCCTAGCGTGTCAGCCGTGGCAGCCAATGTTTCCGGAAGTCTTTGAGCGCCGGTCCATCGATTTCAGATCGTCCGCGTAA